TATCAGAGGGCTGCCTGAGTAGTAGCAGCCTTCTTCCCTAAACATCATGTCTGTATAACAGAGAAGAGGAAGACGACTAGGAAAAGCCTTAATTGTTTTTTGGTCTGTGTCAATGTCCCAAAGCCAACTTATATGACATACAACACGTAGGAAATCCTGTGTCCCTGCAAGTCAGCCCCAGGGTAAGCCCCTAGCCGTTATCAAAGGTAGGTTAGTTCTAAGATTACTACAGTCTCCCTGTATCCTTATTTATGATGGTGTAAACTCTAAGAACTAGAACTGAAGGATGGTCTTACAAAGAGAGTTAGTTCTTTTTTTGCATACAAATACAGAATGTTTAAAGACGGATTGTATTTCTTGTTAAAGTAGATATTGTAAGGTAATTTGGTAACAGGCATGTAGCATGCTTGACCTGTGAGTCATTCCACGAATGTCTATGCACAGTAAGATGAATTCAAGACTGCCATTGCAGCAATATTTGTAATTATATTTCAAAATAGCAGAAGCAATCTAATGGTTCATTAACAATAAAGCATCCAATAGCTCACAGTATAGCTACATCATGGATTATGAATCCAAACCAGGTATGGTGGTTCCTGCCTGTAACCCTAGTACTTAGGGGACTGAGACAGAAAGATGACCAATCTTGGCTGCATGGTGAGATGTTGTCTCAAAAAAAAAAAAAAAAAAGAAGAGGCTGGAGAGAGAGCTCAGCAGTTAAGAGCACTGGCTATTCTTACATAGGACCCTGGTTCAGTTCTCAGCACCCACATGGTGGTTCACAACTGTCTGTAACTCTAGTTTCAGGGTATCCATCATCTCTTCTGAGCTCTGAGAGTACTGAACACACACCTGCAGGAGAAACACTTATACACATAAAAATAAGTAATTTATTTATAAATAAATAAAAAGAAAAAGACTAGAGCCAACCATTATATCAAGGAATGATTTTTAGTTAAGATATATATATGTGTATATATATATATATATATATATATATATATATATATATATATTCTATTTTTAATGTTTTTAAACACAGAACCAAATATCAGTGATCAGTGGACTGGTCTCTGAAGAGGAGGAAGGACCGGACATAAAGATGACCTCTCTCTCTCTCTCTCTCTCTCTCTCTCTCTCTCACACACACACACACACACACACACAGAGAGAGAGAGTGAGAGATATTTTTTATTTAAAATCTCCTACAGTTTTATCCAAAATGTGATAGCCAAGATTTGTCCCTTTCTCTTGAAATTGTCTCTCTTTCCAGGTTTTCACTAGACATATGCTAGCCTGCTTATGGATCCAGACCACACAGCAATTTGCCTTGACATATTTGGGCCCAAATAAATGGTAAAAGAAAACATTCAAATTCCTTTTTTTATTCAGCTCTGGAAGCCAATGGGAAATAACGTATTACCTGTGACAGAAGCCCAGTGTTCTCCAGGCACTGTCCCCAAGTCTGAGGTTGCCCTCACAAAGAGCAGCCATCACCCTGGATTTCCTCTGCCTGTCTATTTGAATCAGGTGTAATGATAGCAATAATAGCCACTAACATTTCTGAATGCTTCTAATATCCAGCACTTTGTGACCCATCTAAGTGTAAATTAGATACAAACAGCTCAGAAAGCCTCCTGACACTTGCCGTCTCCTCCTCTGGGGTGCTTCCAAGGGAAATACATGAGACTGAGAGTTGATCCTTCACCTCACAGCCAATGAACGACAGTGGCTGTATCATCCATCATCTAAACTGGAACAGTTTTAAAGCAAAAGGGGGAAAATAATAACTGCAAGAAAATCAAAGATAAACCAGAAACGTGCCAGGTGATCCGAAAAGCACGTGACTGCTGGAATCACAGGACAGTCTCCCAGGCAGCTGTGTGGCTTTGAGAATCATTGGGGCAAACTCCCTCTGCTCTAGAAGATACTTGCCCAGCACTTACATTTGCCTAAGGAGATGTGTATTTACCAGTATTTAATTATTTCGTTATTGATGGGCAATTGAGCTACTCTTGCTTTTCACCCATCAAATATACATAACACTTTTAGAACTATCGTGTGGTCTGCATCCTAGAGTGTTACAATGAGAGCTTCCCTTTTCTCCCTCTATCCTTCCCTTTCCTCAAAGCACTGCAACAACGAATCACAATATCTTATTAACTCCCTCGTTGGTTAGTAACGTCCACAGAATCTTAGAAGCATGCTTATTTTACGTTTGTATAAGAACCATCATGTTTCTTTTTAGATTTTTATTTAATTTTTAAATCACCTGTATAGGTGCATGTCTGTGGGGGAGGTGTGTGCACATGTGAGTGCATTGCCCCTGGCATTCAGAAGAACATGTCAGATCCCCCCTATTGGGAGTCACAGGTGGTTGTGAGCAACCCCTGTGGGTGCTGGGAGCCAAACCCCAGTATGTGATTGTAACTACAGAGCCATCTCTCCAGCCCCATGAAGGTACTTCTTTTTAATTATCCTCTCAGGGTTTTGATGTCATGCACCAAGGAGCTCTGACCAAGCAGGAAACTGTGTTGCCTTAGAATTTCATTCATTCAAAGAGCAAAGTTGGGCTAGGAGTCATTTAAGACTAGGAACATTTTTTTTTCTTAGCTTCCAGAATAATTAACTGTCAAGTGGTGATAAGGCGTCCATCTCTGTCTACGGTCCTTGAGATGCTCCACTCTTCTATCCCTTCCTCCCTTCCCTAGCAGTTTTCCAACATTGTTTGTTTCTGTTTCGTGCCTAAAGGACTTTATGGTGACAATCACAATTACTAGAGTTTTATTTCATGTTCATTTGGTAATAAAATTCATGAAATATCAGGTTCTCCTTTCCTCTGAATTAAAGATGGAAATTTCAGTTCTTAGACTTTTCCTATTATATAACAGATTTTCTATTTTGAGCTTGAATGGTCTAAGAATTCCAGGCTCTCCAGCAGAGAAACAGCTCTATGCTCTCTGGACTTATGAGTTCTCATCTGTCTGACTCCATTATTATTGTTAATGTGCTTGTTTATAGTGTTAGGCCTTGTGCACTCAACCACTTAGTTACAGGTGCAGACCTGCTATTTCTATTCATAACCCATGAATAAACTTGTCGAAAACTTTTTTTTTAAGTTACAATGGCTGGAGAATGTGGCTCAGCAGTTAAGAGCACATGCTGCTCCTGCAGAGGATCCAAGTTCAGTGCTAGCATCCATACAAAGAGGCTTACACTGGTTGTAATTCCAGCTGTGGGGGATTTGATGCCCTCTTCTGGGCTTTGAGGACAACACACACATGTGGCACATATACAGACACGTGTGGATGCATAATTAAAAATAAAACAAAATAGTCTGTGTCAACATGACTGTAATCCAAAAATTCCTTTAGCTCTCCTAGTGTGGAGAGAAATGTTTCCTGTGTCTGGAGAGCAAGCAAGATAGCAGTCCCCTATCTGTATCAAATTCTTTAGTTTGATAGCTGCATTTTGAGTCTACAGAGAAATGCATTTATTCATTTGCAGGAAACATAGGGAAGCAGCACATCAGCATTGATCTGAAATAATATAGGAAAAAGGTCTTTTGAGTCTGTTTGCAATTTGGAAAGTTCAATATTGTTTTGAAAAAAAGAAAATCCACTTGGTTCGAAGGTGTGAGCATTCTAAATGCTGCTTGGTAGAAATTGCTAATTTGCTTTCAACGTCTTCTAACCATACAGCTCTATTTTTTCCTATTAAGTTCTTGTCATGTAAGCCAGACATTAACTGTTTTCAGAGACCTCTATTTCAGTCCCACCTGTCATAGTTTGTAACAGAAGTGCTGATTCTCGTGGACTCACTTATTATCTCCGCATGGGGGCCATCACTCATTGTATCATTAGCTGATAATGACCAGATGGGTTGATTGAGCTGTAAATGACCACGGTTAGAGACCGCAGCTTTAGCTGATTAGATAAATATGCCACATATTTCATTTTGATCATATCAATTTCACTATCATTTGACTGAAATGTCTCCTGTCAACCTAAAGTTCTCATTAAGGCATGGAAATTTCCCTGAAATATGACTGTATGCCCGGCTTCTATCAGCCAAAACCAATAGTTACAGAAAAGGAAGGTTATTTTCTATTTTAGCAAGAGCCTATCTCTGTGAGTGCCTCTAGTTCTGGCTGCTCTTCCTTTGTGAGAAGGGAGTAGAAGGGACATCTCTGTCACTCATGGAGGGCAGAGAGCACTGTTTTCATTGCAGCTCTTGTCTAGCCACAGAATTTGGTGGAAATATTTGGGGCTCCCTCACCCCAGTTAGTCCTGAAAAGCAACTGCCCTTGGCACCTCACATCTGACATTGCTGAGACTTTCTAGCCCACTGCTTTGTAAACTGAAACATGAATCCTTGAGGGACTGAGTGTTTAAAATGCAGATGTAAATCCTCAAGACCCAAGAGATTGCATTTCTAATAGACTCCAGACAGATGCCAGCATTGATGGTACACGGTCCACACTGAGAGTGAACACCAGGGGCCAGCAAGTGGGTCACTGCTGCTTTGCCAAGAACAAATCATAGAGTTGTATAGGGAGAGGTTCAGCTGAATGCCCAGTGGTCTTCAGACTATCTACCTACTCAAGTGTGCAGCTGATCTGGTTATCAGCTAGGTGGACACAACAACCACAAGAGCTGTTTTGTTATGCTTCAGTTGTGTGGTTAAGAAAATAGCCAAAGGGCAAGGATGTAGCTCCATGATGCAGCACTCGCTTAGTGACCATCCACAAAGTCCTGGATTCAACCCCAGAAAAGGGAAAGAGAGAGGGGGTTGGGGGAGGGAGGGAGGGAGGACAGAGGGAGGGGAAAAAGAAAGATATACAAGAAAGAAAGAGGGAAGAGAAAGAGACAGAGGGAGAAGGGAAGGGAAGAGAAGTGATAGTAAAGGAAAAATAAAAAAAAATATATCATGTTCAAGTAATGCTATGAACCTTACTGGAATGTGAAACACATCTTTTCCTCCCGGAATCTCTTGTACAGCCCTGGAAAAGACAGTGCTCTGTCAATTCCATGTAAAAGACAACACATAGAGCTTCTCGAGCTGCCCTGGATACTTCCAGATCTGAAGGCTTATAAATTGACCTGACAATCAAGTTTGGATTTATTTTGTCGTCAGCGTAGTGACCACGAAAGGAGCCCTTTTGAAAGTAAGTAGTGGCGTGTTGCTAAGGCTCTTCCACAAGGAGCCGGATTCAGCATTTTTAGGGATGAAGATTACCCTGGTAATATCAGTGTGTCAACATCTTAGTAAATCAGCACTTTCCATTTTAAGTAGTCTCTGAAACTGGAAAAAAACAGTCTGTAGAGAATAATCCCGCTATATAGCGCTGACTATGCCCAAATGGGCGTGGTCACAGGTATGCAGAAAGGATGGGATAAAAAAATGGGAAGGAGGCTGTCACTGTATTTCTTCTTACTAAATATACTATTAATAACCATATCCCGTGTTCGATTCTGTTCCCTTTCATGGGTCTTACTACTCGGGGATGTGGATCTGCAAGTTGGGGTTTTAGGAAGTAAACTGTCTTGATGAAGCTTGCAGAACTACTGGGCGGGTGGGATTTGAATTGTTTTCATGACTTCAAAGCTCAGTGGCTTGCTAGCCATATGTAACAAAAATGATAGTCGGTAGAAATGTGAGTTTTAACTTGGTGGGAGATTATTCAAACACTAGCATTTGTTATTTGCCCACAATTCTGCAACTATGACATAAAAGAGAAAGGATTGAAACCCAAGTGTGACTGACCATACTGCTCATAGGGGCACAAAGTAAAATGTTGAAAGTAGCAGGGGTGTGTGTGTGTGTGTGTGTGTGTGTGTGTGTGTGTGTGTGTGTGTGTGTGTGTGTGTATGTGTTGTCATCGTTTTGGACAGCATTTTAGAGTTGATACTTTGGCTTCTCCGTGTCCTAGGATGGTCTGAAATCTGATGACAGCATCCTGAGATGGACACTTGTTTGGATTCTAAGTTGTGAAAGCGAAACTCAAGAACTCAGAATCACAAAGGTGCTAGTCCCAAAACCAATGTTTGAGGCATCAGATGCCATGAGCCATGATGATCGCAGTTACCCAAAGACCTCTGTGTATTTCTGCTGCATTTCTAATGCGTGCATCCCCAACCCTGCCTGGAAATCCTGGTCTCCATTTTGAAGCTAGCCAAGGCCCTGAATTGCTTTAGATTCCTGAAAGAATAACAGATACTTAATAGCACTCTGTTGAGAACCTGCAATCTACAGAACCGAAAATGACACCAGCCCTTAAAGAGCTCACACACCAGTACACATGCAAAGACGCAGAGGTTGCTACTTGTACAAGATGGAAAGGCCATTCAACCCAATGTACAGAGATAAACTGAGTCTACAACTCCATGAATATAGAACACACAACTCCTTAGCGCAGCAGGCAGCACATCAGCCTCATGAATAAATGATATAGACACCTCTTCTTGAAAGCAGGGAGTTGCTTGTGTACTTTGCAGGTGGATTCTAAGAGACCACTGCATTTTGAATGGTTTATTTATTTGCTTACTTATCTGTTTTGTGCATATGCATGCTTGCCTATGTGAAGTTATGTGCACATGGAGGCCAGAATTGGGTTTTCCCAGAATCTGGAGTTACATGTGCTTGTGAGCTGCCACGTGGATGCCAGGCACCAAACCCAATTTGTCTGCAAGCGCAGAACACAGTCTTAATGACTGAGCCATCACTCCAAGCCTGAGACCATTTTATTTTGGTCCAGAGTTAAGTTGTTTCTTTTCCTACATCCCAGAGCTCAAAGAAGCCAATTAGAAGTTGTTTAGCAACTTACCCTGACATGCGTTAATGATTATACCTCTCCAAGATTCTCCTACAATGGTGGTGACAGATAAAAACAAGCCTCTTGCCCAGACATGCAGAATTCTTACTGTGCTGCAAGCCTCACCTGCGCTCTGGCCTCTGGAACAACCCTGCCTTCTACTCTTTACCTAGGCAACTCTCATTCATCCTTCAGGCTTCAGCTTGTAGCTGCAGGATATGTGAAAAAACAAACATCTCCAATCTGTGACTTCAAGGCATGAAGGTGTATGTATCACACATTGTGTACCTCTTAGCTGGGGCTGGGCTCCTTCTTACACTAACTCAGGTTCACAGTAGAGCCTCCTGCTTCTGAAGGAAAAAAGATGAGGACACACTATTATTATCAATAGATGACATGGATTGTCTCCCATTAGATCTTGACACAGGCATAAGAGAGCTTGTGAGTGAAAAATTTCTACAGCCACACACAACTCCCTCTGTTTTCTCATCAAAGCTTCAGGATGGATAGCATCATACCACAATGGTCTGGTTATTAGTCAGCAGCTGCCCACAAGTTATGTAGCCACATCTTAGGAATTGAACCATTACCTCCTGAGGGAGAAAAGGAAACTCAGAAGGTTCTGTATTAACCTTCTGTATAACAACTCACAAGTCTTATAAACTTCCTGAAACCCACTATAGTCACAGGGCCCTTTCATGTGGTTGTACAAGCAGTAACAGTTGCTGGGGAGAAGAGACTCTTGATCAGTAGAGCTGTCCCCAGGTTCTGCATGAAGCTCCAGGAGGATGCAGCTTTCATGAGTCATCACCCAGATTGGGTGGGACTTTTTGGTGATTCGTCTGCCTTTGAGATAATCATGCTCCTACAAGTAACCCCCCACCCAGACTTCTTGATGTAACCCCAACAAATTCATTAGTCTAGTAAGCTACACTGGGTGGAAATATTTCTTTGACGATGCAAGTGCCCCATCTGGGATGAGGAGATGTGTGCTCATGTCTCTCCAAGAGAAGTCAAACAACAACCAAGTTTCTCTAGGCAGATGCTCAAACGCATCTTTATATCCAACACCACCATGTGTGGCATACCCACACTCAAGGTGGAGGGGGGATAAGGGAGGAAGGCAGTGTTTCTTTTTTATAAAATGTAAGTCTGTATCTTTAAATGTATGATTTCAAAACAATTCAAAAATGCTATTTGTATCTTCCATTCCTTAGATAGGATTTGCAGCTAGCCTAAAGCTCTAATTCTGACTTCGCTTGTGAATGCAAATATTTTAACAAGTATAACACACAGAGGCCTGAACTATCAATTATTCCTAATAGCATATGTAAAATACCTTGTTTATCCCAGAGATCCTAAATTAGACTAAGGAGAGGGGGAAAAAACAACTACCTTAAAAATGAATCTGAGATTCAGCCGTGATCCTCAGCTTGTCTTGCAAATTATTCAAAAGTTAGAGCTGGCTAAGGTTTATGAAAGATAAGCAAAACTCCATTTTCTTAGCTGGAGTGGACTTTGATGGTTGAACAGGGAAAACAAAGGCAGAAGTTATTCGTCATAACTATCTATGCTTACAGCTGAGCAATAATGTTCTTGTATACTTAAGGGTTTAAACAGATAGCAGTTGAATTTCTAGTCCCCAAAAAGTGGTTTAGAAAAATTCACCAGGGCTTGAGGATGTATGGATGTATTGTTCAGTGTTGAAGTGCTTACTTAGCATGTGTAAGATCTGAGAGAGAGAGAGAGAGAGAGAGAGAGAATTTGCTGTTGAATTCAGCCAAAATGATAAATTCTTCAAAAATGTCTAGCTGCTTGCAAGTAGCTTGAACAAATTAAATGATGTGTTTCCTGCCACAGAGAACATCTAGTTATCACCACAAGGTATTTTGGAAGAAAAACAATGTCATACATTTAAAATAAAAACTGTAGTTCACTAAAATGGCATTATTTTTTTAAGCACAACTCTTTTTCAGATTCATATAATCTTTAAATGCAAGAGTTTGTTTAAATACTTACTTTATGCATATGTGTGTATGCCACCCTGTATGTCTGTGTTCCATGTAGGGGGAACCCTTGGAGGCCAAAAGAAGGCATCAGATTCCCTTGGAACTAGAGTTACAGATGGTCATGAGCCATCATATTGGTTCTGCAAACCAAATCCAGGTCCTCTAAGAAAGCAAAAAGTGTTCTTAAAGACTGAGCCATCTCTTCAGGCCCTCAAGTACAAATGTTATCTATTCATCATCAGACTTACCACAAAGAATGCACTTACTGATTTTATTTCATTCACTATGAAAGTGTTTTATTTGAATTGGCCCTAAGGAAGATCTGTGACCCTATTTCTTAAACTGTGGGCCATAGAGAAGAATATTGTAATTGAAAAAGAAAAAGGAGAAGGAAGAGGGAAGAAGAAGGGGGTTTTCTGAATGCCCAACAATCAAATACTAATTCAAAATCAAAGGCATAATAAACCCAGGATGTTCCTGGCAGCTTCACTTGAACACGACTGCAGCCTTCATTCTGAATGCACATGTGTACTTTACACGAGAATGCAGCTGGGTCTTACAGTGCCATCAAACCCTGTTTGAAACTCTCAGCTCAGTTTTGAAAATACTATGTTTTATGAATGGCAGTGTTTTTTATTGCACACATAAAGTTCTCTGCTCTTAAAGAAACAATGGTTTAATTACAGGAGACAGGGCCTTTTCACATTAACCTACCATTATTTCTCAGCATGTAAGTATCAAAGCATTGTAACTCTTACTGTGTTAGAATGTTTGGGTTTTAAATTTCCTGTTTGAGTGATGAGTGAAGGCACATGTTGCCAAGTCTGATGACCCGAGTTTAATCCCTGGGACCCACACTGAAGAAGAAGAAACCTGGCTCTACAAAATTGACTCGGATTTTAACAGAGAAATTCTCATGAGCCCCCTCACAGCTGACATTTGCATCAGCTCCCCCAAGCTAGAAACAGGATAGGAAAGTCTCCAACAAGGGCTTCTTTCTGTGTAATTTTGTCCTTTTCCTGTTGAAGAAAACTATGCTTGCACCATATGCATGGACTCGTGAGAAATATGAGGTTCTGTTGCAGGTGCTTTTTCATTTCCTATTAGCCCATTTTTCCATCTAAAAAACAACTGTGGGGCGATGGATGAAACTGAAATGGTGCTGAGTTTATCTAGCATGCATGAAGCCCTGGGTTACCTTCCCAGGATCAGGTGAACCAAGAGTGGTGGTGCACACATCTTATCCCAGCCCTGGGAGGTAGCGGCAGGAGGGTCAAAAGTTCCAGGTCATCCTCTGCTACATAGAAAGCTCTAGATCAACCTGGGCTGTGTGAGGCCC